GGAGGCAAGGCAGGCAGATCCCTGTGAGTTCGAGGCCAGCCTGGTCTACAAGAGCTAGTTCCAGGACAGGCTTGATAGCTACAGCAAAACCCTGTCTCGGAGAAACAAAACAAAACAAAACAAACAAACCAAAAAAGATTTATTTATGTGTATGAGTGTTTTTGCCTGCATATATGTCTGTGTACCATGTGCACACACTGCCCTCAGGCTGTCAGAAGGGCAGCATGAGATTTTACTCCATGAGTCATCTTGTGGGTCCAAATTTTTATTCTTTTGTTTTTGGAGACGGGGTTTCCCTGTGTAGCCTTGGCTATCCTGGAACTTGCTTTGTAGACCAGGCTGGCTTCAGATTCACAGAGATCAACCTGCCTCTGCCTCCTGAGTGCTGGGATTAAAGGCATGCGCCACCACCGCCCAGTTTATAAATTTTTATTCTTGAGACAGAGTCTCTAGACGTAAAGACTGGCCTTAAACTTGGCGTGTAGCTGAGGATGGCCTTGAACTTCTGATCTTACTGCTACATCTTCCCAGTGCTAGGATTATAAGCATGTGCCACCATGTCAGGCTTACATGAAGGTATTTTTATGTTATGATCACCATAATTCATGTCTCTTTTCCAAATCCTAGTGCGTGTCTGGCAGGCAATTCACTAGCAGTATCTTCCACTAGCATTTGCCTTATGTAAAAAGTTCTTCAACACTGAGCCAAACACTTCTTAAGTTTCCACAAAATAACAAGGTAAATTCTGAAACATCGGTGCACACATGACTTCTTTCCTGGCTCAGGGTCAGGTACCAGAGAACCGTGAAGAGAGCTCTAGCTGGGAAGCCAGTAGAGGGCTTGGGCTGACTTTCCTAAGTTCAGGTTAAAATGACTTTTCTTTCTGAGGGCCTATTTTGAACATACATTTTGTATGGTTTTTGGAGACAGGGTCTTACTATGTAGCTCTGGCTGTCCTGGAACTTGCTATATATACCACTCTGACCTTGAACTCATGAAAATCCACCTGCTTCTGCCTTCAAAGGGCTGTAAATTTGTAAAGTCTAGAATACCTGGAATGCCATGGAAGTCAAAGTCTCAAGGGATGGTAAGGATACAGATTTCACATCACAATGAGGAGCAAGCCTCTTATTCACTTCCACAGCTGATGCAGGCATGGAAGACAATAACCCTGATAACCATGTCAAAGCAGCAACACTCACCACAATACAACCTTCCCTCCTAATCACAGCTCTCCAACCCACTTACCAGTTCCGATAGACAGGCCGCTGCTGTTAGAACGGATGGTCTTAGAATTCAATACTTTCTCTGGGGAAAAATATGCAATAGGTAAGCACTGTATACAGACACTGGCAGGAAGAGTGAAGGGAGACAGAGCAGGGAGGAAGTGGTCACTGGCATCTCTGACTCCCAGTAACTTAGTACTTACTGTTTACAAGTTAGTCTCAGAAGTGAAACATTTACTGTACTATACACACAGTACTGGGGTGGGAGTTTTCTACCTCTGCTGGAAGTGCCACAGAAGCTTTACAAAGTAACAATTCCTAAATCCTACCCGAAATTGGTCAAGGATGGAGCAGCACTAAGATTTATAAAAGCCAAGGTTTTTATCATGGAGTTCAAAGTAATGTTTCTGCAAAAAAGCATGGAAATTTTCTTTTAAAAGAATTACTGAGCCAGTTGGTGGTGGCACATGCTTTTAATCTCAGCACTCAGAAGGCAAAGGCAAATGAATCTCTGTGAGTTTGAGGCCAGCCTGGTCTACAGAGTGAGATCCAGAGTTCCAGGACAGGCTTTAAGGCTACATAGAAAAATGCTGTCTCAAAATAAAAAAAAATTTAAAAAAAGGCAGAAGGATCAGGAACTCATGGTAATTTTTGGCTACTAAGTACTGAGTTTGAGGCTACCTTGAGCTACAAGCCCCTGACACAAAACAGTCCAAAAGAGAAGAAATATCAGATGACTAACTTGGGAAACAAAACTGTTCTGTTCCTATCACTTTGTATGGCATCTCCATCCAGCACATGTCTTAAAAAAGCAGCCTCTGCAGCCTCTGCTTCAGGATACTTCTGTTTCCAACAATGTCAGTCCTGCCCAAATCACTCCAACTCCATATATATGGAACTCTTACCAACAATAAGAATGGTGTGCCAGCCACGGCAAGAAAGGTCTGGGACATGATGCAGTGATCCAAAAATAGGCCGAGGCCATGAGGTACAGATATCAGAGCCATGTGGTCTCTCTGTGGGAGTCATTGCCAGGCGGCCGTTGCCACCATTTCCCCAGGCAAAAATGTGATTATCTAGGAAAAAATTAAATAGCAGATTAATAGGACACTATTTGCCTAGTTCTGGGACTAGAAAGACGTCCTAGTAAGTACCAAATTAAAGAAAAGCTGAATATTTCTCTCTATAGAGCCTAAAACTCTTCCTGATTCCACCCTGGTAAAAATGACCACTGCCTCTATGTCTGCCGTTCATTCGTTCACTCATTCACTTGTCATTCATCCGAACAAGTAAGAGAATCTACTTCACAGCAAATGTTGTTCAAGCTGTCTGAGGCAGGACATAAAGCCAAGTCCTTGCTCCAGTGACTTCAGTGGGGAGAATAACAACACCGAGGGAACAGCTCTCTCCTGTTTCAAACAATGGCAAGTGGGGTGCTGTGCAACACGAAGGATGTGAGTAACCATTTGAGAGAAAGTGCTCAGAGGCGTACTCTTTGACACCGAGCAGAGATCTAGTTGAACTGAGTGAGTTTCCAGGCAGACTTAAGAGCAAGAGCAAGGTTGCACAAGCAGAGAAGGAGGCGGCTCTCAGGAGCAAAGTAAGACAGAGGGACAGTGGTAGAAGAGGTCCTGGTCATAGGGGCTGTGCAAGCCTGACTGATGTACCAAGCCGTAAGAGCAGGAGGTATTTAAGAGGACCTCTGAGGTTATGATAAGAGCCAACCGCAAAAGAGAAAAGGTGGAAGCAAAGACCAGTTGAAGTATGGATATAGCAAGAAGTTGTTGGGTATATTCAAAACACAGCATGGAGAGCTCAGGATGGCGCTAAGAAGTCTGCAGAGGAACGGAGCGGAGTGTAAAGGAATGGGTTCACAGAGAAGAGGTGGACGTCTCTAGCACAGCACCTATGTGCTATAGGAAGATGGCCTATGTGCTTCTTCCCACATACCCAGCCAATGCTGATTAGGACCAACATGGTACTGGACAAGACAGACAGAAGTACTCAACGGTTCTGGAGATACTTTACCAAAAATGTCCAAATAAAAAAAAAAAAACAGGTGAACTCAGGATATTAACCTGCCATTATCTAGAAATCTGGCCTGTAAAAAATTTGCTACATTGGACATATGCCAGTTAGACAAAACCTTGTTTCCTAATCAGAATTAAACTAGCTACCTGTCTGGAAAGCAGGAACAAAGCATAGACAGACTCACCGTCAGTGGCAGCGATGGTGAACTCATCGCCACAGGAGACCCTGATTACTTGCTTCCCACCAAGGGGTCCCCCCAACAGGTTGATTCCCAGGCGCTTCTTGTAATTCCCAACACCAAGCTGCCCACACTTATTACAGCCAAAAGTCAGCAACCGGCCTCTTTCTGAGGGAGAAGCAAAAATAAACAGCCAATCACAAATGAACCATGAAACAGAAGATACAGCAATGCGGCTCCATGCACTAGAAGACAGAAATATGAAGCTACTCAGATGATCTTGAGGTAGAGTATCTAAGCAGTGTGATCAATCAGAACCTCTAACTGACCATAGCATTTTTCCAATATTTCAAACAATATTAAAACCAAAACACCACCCTCCCCCAAATAAAGCAATTTATTTATTGTGCATGCACAGGTGGAAGAACATGCCATAACTGAGGTCAGAAGACAACTTTCAGGGAACAAAACTCTTTTACCATGTAGGTTCCTGGGACCAAACTGAGGTGTGGGTAGCTACCTTAATTCAGAGAAAGGGTACTACCCTTAATTTAGAATACTTACAGTAGGTGCCAATCATAAATATGGTTTTTGTTCTTTTAAGAGTATTTATAGCTGGGCATGGTGGTGTATGCCTTTAATCCCAGCACTCAGGAGACAGAGGCAGGAGGATCTCCAAGATTGAGGCCAGCCTGGTCTACAGATCAAGTTCCAAGTCAGCCCCGGCTACACTTAGAAACCCTGCCTTAGAAAACAAACAAATAATAATTTATTTATTGACTATATATATATATATATATATATATATATATATATGCCTGTCTGTGTATATGTCACATGTAGGTGTGTCCTCAGAGGTAAGAAGAGGGTATCAGATCCCTTGAAGCTGAAGTTATAGTCACTTTTGAGCAATCCAAACTGGGTGCTGGACATGGAACTTGGGTCCTCTGGAAGACCAGCAAGTAAGCACTATTAACCACTTCACTGAGCCATCTCTCCAGCTGGAAGTATGGTGTTCTTATTAAAGTGCACATTCATTTTGTATTTATAGAAATCATTTTTTAAAAATCTGTGCTTAAATGCCTAATTTGTTAATAACATAATACTGAGTACTAGGGAGAAGTCAGAGGATGCATTAAGAGGATTATTAAGAAAGCTAATATTTCATAGCACAAAAGAACCTGAGCTTTGAAGGCATATGATACAGCTGAACAACTTACCATCAATAGCAGCTGTGTGAGTCTTGCCTGGGGCAATGGTACGAATTTTGTAAAAGGACAACTGTTTGGCCAAGGTAAAGGAGGTCGTGTAGGGCACTTCATGGTATGCCTGAGACAAGTAAAACACAGAGCAACAGACTCATAAAGCGAACAATGGTGGTGGTGGTGGGGCAGGCTGAGGATGGAAAAGGCTTTCAAACAAATCCTGCTAAGACAGGGTGCCACATAGCTTCCCATCTTCAACAGGACATAAGAAATAAGCTCAGTACAGAATCAGAATTTGATATAAGAAGCAGGGACTTCTGAGTATAAAACCCACATTCTGAATTAAAGCCACACAGGAGCTCTTCATCTCAGGAGATTATGGTCTAAGGACGGAATAATTGAATCTGTGGTGCTTGCACGCTCTGCCTCTTTAACAAGGAGGGGCAGGGTAAATATGCTCTTCAGCTTACAAAGAAATCAGTTATTATGATCTAATTTTACCTACTAGGTAGTGTTTCACAAAATTTCATAACATATTCCTCTGATTCTTGTGTAGCAGGGCAGTGGTAGTGAACGTTCAGCCTTCAATACTAGCACTCAGGAGGATCTGAGTTCAAGGACAGCCTGGTCTACAGAGAGAATTCCAGGACAGCCAGGGCTACACAGAAAAAAACCAAAACCAACAACAACAAAACCCCCTGTAAATGAACTTCACAACAAATCTGCATCTTAACAAACCACAAATCAAGTGGCAAATTTGAAGATGTCTTTCAAACTATCATTCTCCAGGCTTCACCCTGAGTTTGTCCTCTTCTGAGACTGGACTTCAGACACCACATACAAATTAACTCTTTCATCAAGTTAGGGAACTGTAAATTTACTTGATTTTTTTTTCTTTTTATTTTTTCTTTTTGCATTTGAAGGGGAAGGGGCAGGGAACAGACTTGATCTTTAGAAATATCAAAAATTCATGATACTAACACAACCTGGCTGGGCGGTAGTGGCGCACACCTTTAATCCCAGCACTCGGGAGGCAGAGGCAGGTGGATCTCTGGGAGTTCGAGGCCAGCCTGGTCTACAAGAGCTAGTTCCAGGACAGGCTCCAAAGCCACAAGAAACTGAGTCTTGAAAAA